TTAATGATTGCAGATCCTTTGACAAAAGGCATGCCACCAAAGATGTTCAAGGATCATGTACCAAAAATGGGATTGATTTTCGATCTGTCACTTACTATTTCAGTTGAGATGTTAGCACATTTTTCTTTGTAATGAAACTCAAAATTTTAATTTATTTTTCTATTTATAATTATATACATTTATGTTTGAGAACAACAAATAGTTAAGGACTCAGAATAAACATTTGAGGTTTATTTATAAAGTAATATATCTTATGAAGTTTATTCAAAAAAAGAAAAATTGCATTGTAATACATAGAAGGTAATATTTATTTATAAAAGGACTTACTGCCATGATTCATGTAATTCCATTTTTCTGTTTAAGCATATAGGGAATAAGCTTATTATACCACGGAAATAATTGTATAATAAAAGTTTGGACCAAGTAGGAAAATGTTGGAATTTTAATTTTAAAATTTAAAAATCTCATTTATCTTTAATGGTCTTACCTTTTAAATTCCATGATAAGTTATATGGTTTTAATGGGATTGTGATAACTACCCATTATTTGAATGAGATTGTGATTATTACCCATTATCTTTAAAATTCCTTAATTTTGAAGTAACAGTTATCTAGTTAATGGGAGGGATTTTATTTATAAAATAAGTGTATGGGTCCCCAACCCAAGAAAATTTTTAAGAAAACAAATACCATATTATCATCACTATAAAATTGTTGTTTGGATTAGAATAACTCATTAGGAATGAACTGAAGAACTTCAAAGGTGAGTTTGTGAAAGAAGAAGCTTGACATTTGATATGGCTGGAAATTAGTGTCATGATCCTTATTGAGAATTTTATTTGGAGGGTTTATCTGCAGTATACAAAATTGTTAAATCATAGTTAATATTTACCTCTATTTATTTATTTCTACTTCTGCTATTATTCATTATTTATATATGTGTACATACATATGCATGTGAATATATTTAACAAGTTATTTTCAACAATTTTTAGTTTATTAGTTAATATTAATTTATTTCTCTTTTATAGGTATTATTATGTTGAGTAGTGGTTTTGTACTGTGAAATAGGTGTTATGTAAGACATGTAATATTGTATAATTATTTTATTTTACGTGCTATTTTATTTTAATGTTATTTTTTCTTTTCTATAAATATATTTATAAGTGTTATTATTGAATGAAAAGATTGTAAAGAGACATTAAGTTTAATTATATTTTCTCTTTGTTTTATCTTTCTTTAGTTTTCTAGCTTTATCCTTCATCACTTTAACAGATAATAGTTTGCAAATATAACAAAATCTTTGAGATTTCCAACATGATATTTATTTTTTGCATAAAGTTTCTGTCTTGAGAAGTGTTGAAAGATGTAACAATGGAAGAAGTTCCAGATGGTGAGCTTGTTTCGTTTAGATTATTTGTAAAAGTATTTTGTTTGAATTTTTGCATTCAAGTTGTTGGAGTTGGTGCTTCAGGAAACAAACAGATACTTTTGAACACTGTTGAGTTGGTGTATGTTGGAGTCGATTGGTCCAGATTATGATATTTTGTGAGCTTTTGGTGCAGTCAATGCCAAATATGATTGCAAGTTTATCTTATGTTTTGTAATATCTGGTGTCTTAAATCAAGTTTGTTTATTATTGTTGAATATTATGTTTTCATGTTTCGCCTGAGTCCATTATGCTAAACTTTTAATCTTAGACAAGAACCTAGATTTTCTTTTCCCTGATGCTGGGCAACAAGGAAAAAAATGAGACAATTGTTTGAACTTTATGCTAGTTTTCTTTTGGAAGCGCCAAAACTTATATAAGCATTGATGGCAAGTTTGATGTGCATGTGGTAAAATGTGGCTGTTGCATTTTATTTTGCGTGAATGATATAGATTTCATGCCCCTGTCTTGTTAAAGAGTACTCTATGTAGATTTCTCTTAGAATGTATTGCTTCTGTGCCCCACTGCAGAAGAAAAAGCCCCTCAGACACTTGCTAAGATACAGTAGTAACGAAGAGCCAGTTTCTTCTATTATGTCTGTGAAAGAAGTCAGGACTGTTAATGCTAAAGCAATGAACAAAATGAAAGAGACATTGTCTGCATCTCCAATCCTAACGCTTAGTTTGCCTATCATCAATACAGGCAAGAAAGTTTCTAAAATGATATCATTTTGACTTGTTTGTTCTGTTTATGTGTTTTTCCTTATAAAGAAAAACCCAAATGATTTGCTTTGGCAAAACTTGATGGAATATTAGAAAGGCATTTTGCCTTGAAAATTACTAAAGTTGCATTTTCTTATTGGGATGCAGAGAAGGCAAAAGGCATCATATGATCTTTTGAAGTTCAGAAATGAATTGTTAGAAAGGTGAAGCATATTTTGTTCCAAACTTTTAGCATAGAAGTTTGCTAGAAGTTTGGAATCTCATAAATTTCGCAGTGAGGTAAGAGACAGAGGTTATGATCTTATATATTATGCCCATTACTTATATTTAACATTTTGGTCAGAAGTATCAATTTTGAAGATCATTGAGTGGTCTGAATTGGTTTTTATAAAGCTACTGGTGCTGTATGCTTTTTATTTGAGTTTATCCACTTATACTGTAGTTTTAGCTACTTGATTTATAAGTGCTTATCTACCTTGTGGTGACATATTGCTGCTCTTATGTTCTTTTTTCAGTAGAAAGTGACCTTGTTGTTCCCAACAAAGAGAATGTTTGCAAGGGACAGATACCGGATGCCATCCTACTTAATAAAAAGCAAACAATTCTTCCTACAAAGGCAGAGGAGGCTATGAGATCAAGCAGACCTTCACCATCAAGGCTTTGTACAACTATTGTAGGTTCAGGCAAGAGAATTTTTCTAATCACTTCACAGTACTCTACCTTTTGGAAATAATGATAAAACTATAACCTTGATTTTCCAATTCTATGAGGTATCCTACTACCCAGATGTTTGATTGTTTTCAGATTATAGTGGTGATATAGTTTATATTAATCATTTTTTGTAGCTGAGCAATTTTAATTTACTTTTATATTTATGTCCCCTTTAAACAAATGCTTTCTCAGGTTGAAACTTTTATGATGCTGCTGAACCTGAGAACTCTGATGTTGCAGAAAGAGAAACCCGAAATATTCGACTTAAGGTTTCCCTATGCTGCCCACATCTTCCTGCTCTTCATACTGCCTGGACGTGAGTAACATGTCTTTCCAAGACATTGAACATACCATATTCTTTCTTCATGTTATGTAATTGTCTACTTGTTGAAAATTTGTATCAATATAATTCATCACATCTCAAAACAATGGCATGGATTTCTATACATAACAATTTAAATAAATGGTGCAGTATTCTCAATAAATCAGTCCTCTTAGCATGTCAGGCCCTCTTCTATCCTTATGATGTTAAAAGCAATTTGTCTCAAGTTATGTATATGGCATGAAAACTTCATGAGGTCCTGCATATGTATTCTAGCATGCAATTTGCAATTAGGGTTTGCATTTATAGCTACTTTCAAAAGGTTTACTCTATTTACTCACAGACAGAAGTCACTGACATGCCTTCATATTGACCTTTCCTCATCCCATTTTTAGGGGAGGTTTCAAATTTCTTGATATACTGCTACCCCAGGTGAATTTTATGGTGGTGTCCTGGCTTGACCTCCATGCAGAGTCCATCGTAAAGCATACGAGTTTTCACAGAAAATGCCCCCAGTCCTTCAGGTTAATCTGCTTCACCAGTGTCACCTTCAGGCAGATATACTCCAGAATGGTTGTCTAGATTGTTGTGACATTGCATTATACTTTTATCCTGTGGATTATACGGAAAGGTGTGTGCCAACATCGAATTCTGGCTTAAATTCATTTTCCTTTTACAATTTTAATTTTGGACTCATTGTATTACTTGAATGGCTTCTTTGATGTACAGACCCCAGCAGAATTACAGTCAACTGTTTCAGCTCATGGAGATAAAAAATTCAGTGCTGACAAGTTACATTGATGGTGTGAAGTTGTTGATATTTACATCTAAACAGCTGCATTTAGACACGGGGTAAGCTCTCTAGACTCTCTGACTGTATTTTCTGTGAGCTTTCCTTCAGAACAATTTTTTGGGCATAGATTCTAGATTATTTTATGACAACAACACCTCTATAAAAGTTATATTGTTAATGTCCATAACAAATAAAGAACCCATTAAGAGTTGTTGAATGTTTGTACAATCTTACTTTTTGTTCCAAGCTGGCTAGATTCTTGGTGAGCTAACTTAATGAACTGGTTACTGGTTAATTGTATAAAATGCTTTGCATTAGGGGTTTCTTCTTTGAATATTACTCCCTCCATCCTATTGTTATTGTTAGTTTTGTGTAAACACGCATTGTGAGAAATCAAAAAGAGGAAGAATAATATGAAAAAGGTGTGTTAAATAGCTTGTGTAGTGAGTCCTATTGCATTAAAATGTTTATGGTCAAGGGATAATATTAAAGTTTACCGTTACATGTTTGAATTTTCCACTATTACATGTTTTGAAAGGCAGTGAAATTAAAATGAAAAGATTAAAGTCCCCATATAATGAGAATTACGCAATAGCAACAAAGTCCTTAGCATGTAGGACCCTTGCTTTTGCTAACCAATCTGCAATGGAGTTTGTCTCTCTGAATATATGCTTGAAGGGCAAACCTGTAGTTCTGCACTTACGGCTCCCAATGTGATTCGAAATATGTTTCTTTCGTCATAGTACAATGGAGTGATTGTTAGCTGAAAGAAATGTATTGCTCGAGTCAGTTTCAATAATGAGAGAATAAGAAGCCGTAAACTTAGCAAAGTTAGGGTCTTCTACACCAGTGAATTTAGAAAATACTCCTTTGAGAACGTTTTCCTTGTTTTATGGATGTACTTTCAAGGCACAGATCACAAATGGCAAAACGATTGCTTTATTTGAAACTAAAGTAGCTCCTTTTACTACTGCAATTTTGCAAGCTCCATGCACCCTAGATGTAGTTTTTTCAGCATGGAGGGAAGAGATTTGGGATCCAATAGTGTGGAAAATGAATAGGGTTATTAGATCTGTGGTCAAAGTATGCACCCCAGAGGCCATAGTAGCCGTTTAACCTTTTTGTAATTTCTTGAAAAGAAAAAGAAAATGTAGGATCAGCACAATCTCACACTAAGTCCAGCATTTACCAAATGCTGATAACATGATGCTGCAATCTAAAGGTAAAACATAATGGATCAAAGGACATCATGATGATAGCCAAGAAGAAAACCAACATGTGGGCACCACTGCCAACCTGGTTGGTTGAACTAAATGAGGCTACTATAGTTAGAGGCCCCCCTCTACCACACAATGCAGATTCAGAGTGGTGACTGACAGATGAGTCATTTTTCTTAATGGCATCATCTCATTTCATATTATTGATTAAATTCAGAAAGAATAAAAAGAAAAGTCACATGGTACTGCTTTATTGTTACACTAAGTACTCCATCCAAATACCAGATACCAATTTGAAAATTGATCTTACTTTTGTCATTTTTGTGGTTAGCAAGCATGGCAGAAAGCACAAGTGTAACTCTGGTAGTTTGTTGTTTACTTTCGGGTTTATGGGGAGGGGGACGATTATGTCTTCTTCAATCTTCTCTGCTTCCCTTGTAGTAATTGACAAGTACAACCACGAATCAAACTCAAATTACAGTGAAAAATTGTTGATCTCATTGCTAGTATGAACATAAACAAAACTTGGAAAAGTCTATAGTGCAGCCATACAAAGCTTTGTGGGTTCCCCCTGTCAAGGATACCAAGTCACCTTTAACCCTCAAACTGCGCCTCAGAGAAATCAAAAAGCTTTACTTTGCTCAACTCCCCATGAAACTATTTTTTTGGCCTTTTGATAGAGGTTAAACGTTTGAAGACTAATCAAGAAAAAGGAAAGAAGAAGAAATAATGTAAAGACATTCTAGTACATGAAATGAAGGAACAAAAAAGGCACTCCACAAGCCGACACAGAACAAGGCCACCTTCATCCCACCATCTACATCACCCTCTTACATGTTTTATTTTTCTTGTCTAGATGTCAGCCCCATTTCTCACACTGCCCCATACTGTCTCTCTCTCTCTCTCTCTTTCTCTTTTCTTCTCTCCATCTCTCTCAAGTTGCAACAAACTTTCCCTGACTGAGTTCCATTGTTATCTTCCTCTAGCTTTTGTTTCTCTTACACTCACTCCCCCCAAACCCTTTGTTCTTCAATCATGGCTGCTCTACTGCTTGCAGTGCTCACTCTGGCCATGACTGGCCGCTCAAGTAAGCTCTTGAGATAACATTTTTCTCTGCTATGTTTTTTTTTCTAACCGTTCAACGAAAGCTGCAAAAGCCATTTCGATTTCTGTTTGTAGATGTTAATATCCTTCTCTTCTGCTCCTTTTGGCTTCTATGTGATATCTACCTAACACTCCTTTTTTTCTTCCTAAAAATAAACCCATGCTGGGTGCATCTTTTCCACCATTTTTTTTCCCTTTTTGTTGGTCTGGAGAGAGTTGCACCCTTTTGTCTTATGTTACTGTTTTCTAACTCTTTCTTCCATTTTCTTCTTTAAGCTACTGAACCTTTAATGCAAGCTATAACTGGTTCTAAATAACTTCATTTATTTTTCATGCCTTTTTCCTGGTTATTTCCATGTTTTCCTAACAACACACTTGCTTTCTAGCTTGAGATTTCACTACTTTGCTCATTATGCAAACATAACACCTTTCGTTAGTTATTCTTATCTGGCTCCCACCTTAACAGAATCTCATTCTGCCTCCCCTCCCTAGAGAGGTCATTTCCCCTTTAAATCTGTATTAAATTTTCCCTTTCTCTGGAAAAAAAAATGACTCTATTTGTTTTTATTTTTTGGGAAAGTGAATAAAATTTTCTTTTGGGGATTTGGACAGGTGCCACATGGTGTGTTTGCAAGGATAATGTGGGTGATGCGTCCTTGCAGAAGACTTTGGACTACGCTTGCGGAGCTGGGGCTGACTGTAACCCTATCCATTCAAACGGGCCTTGTTTCAACCCTAACACTATTAAGGCTCATTGCAATTTTGCTGTCAACAGCTATTTCCAAAGGAAGGGTCAAGCTCAAGGCTCATGTGATTTTGCTGGCACTGCCACTGTCACTGCATCTGACCCTAGTAAATTCCCTTTCCATCCATCTGTAATTTCTACACTTACATTTACCAAGACAGTTAAAAAAAGAAAAGAAAAGAAAAAAAAAGCAGGCCAAAAACTAAAAACTTACTTTATTTTGGTGATTCACAGGCTCTACTGGCTGTGCTTACCCATCTAGTGTCAGGTATGCTGTAAGCTTCTTATTGGTTCTTCCTTTTTTTTATCTTTTATGTTTAATCTTTTGTTAGCTTCATTCGAAATTTGGTAAAGGCAAACCGCAAAAAGTTTTTTATGTGTACCTCCTCTTTCTCCATCACAAAAGTTTGGACCCATCCCATTACTGTGTGATAAGAAGGGAAGGACTGAGGAGTAGGCATAATAGTTTCCTGTGTTATTTAATGTGGTCTGCGCTTTCAGCACCACAACCTGTAAATGGGGCGCCTGTAGTTATTAGGACTATTAATAGGGCATTCGGCACTGTCTGCCAAAAGTAAGTTTGAATCTTATAATTGAACTTTTACGGTCACCAGAATGTCTCATTTGGTGTTTTGAGCAAAACGAAACTAAAGTGCTTCATTTAGTTATAAAGATTAGGATTTAGAATGTGGCCTCAGGACTACACACAGAATGAGGTAATACTATTTGATCCCACCCTCACAAATGCTGCCAATGTTGTTGGGCTCTCTGACACTCTAGCGTTTCTTATAAAAATGAACGTTGGCTATGTATTTTTGAAAAAATTGTTTCCAAATTTGAATTTTATGACAAGCTGATAATGATTGGTATACTCAGCTGTCAAAGTATTTGTATTAGTTTGCAGCAAACTTAGCTACAGTAGGATAGTCGGGACCATGTACCATGAAATATTTATATTTGCTTGGTCCGCATGCAAGCATACTTAGTCTAAAGTTTTATCAACGGTGGACCGCATAGTTAAGTTTAAAGTAAGTTTTGAACACAAAAAAACAAAGGGATAAATATATTAGTAATAACAATCTTAAAGCTCAGATTGCTTTATGTTATGCCATCTTACTGAGATTCCTGTTTTAAGTGACTTTGTTTTATACTTCCATATTCCTCTTGGGTGCAATGGGCATCCTACTTTCCGTTATTGGAGAGGAGCCAAAAAAAGTTAGCTTTTTTTCTGAAAGAAATTCAAGTCCACATCAACTGTTTTCATTGAGATGCCTCTACTCCCCAGAATAAATTTATATTCCAACACCAAGTCTGCTTTTTCCTTTCACCTCTGATCTTGTCCTATGTGGGCTTCTTTCACCATTTTGACTACTATTGTAACCTCATGCTGATATTGCCACATCTAATCTAATTGGTAAAGCTATTAGTGTGTGCTGTAGCATTGTAGCTTTTCACTTTCATAAAAGATGTTGCAATTATTGGGATCAAGTGGCCCCTTTTACTAAAGGTCAAGTTTGATCCGGAGTGTACAGTGTAAAGGGTTCTCATCATAGTCCCCTGTTGCTATGGTCTTATTTACTTTTATGCCCCATAGTGATTAAGGATACACATCTCATAGGGTAGTGTCTCTCATCACAAACTTTGCCTTGTGCATTTTTGTTGCTATAGTTTTATTATGTGTGCTTTTGATAGTAAATTTGGGCTTTTAAGGCCATGTCCAAGTCAAAAAAATGTGACCACAAATAACGAGTAAAGAATAATGCTGGGGTTGCAGTTTTTGCAACAAAAAACAAAAAGTGTTACTGGCAATGTTATGGTGGGGCAATCTCTTTTGGCTCTTTTTTTGATTCTTGGAGCCACCCCTATACCCTTGGGATGGACAAACGTTTTCTTTGAGATTAGAGCCTCAACTTTTTGAAATTTGAGATGCCTCGAAGCTTGTGCACGTGTTGTCCTACTTTGCAACACCATTTTATGGGAGCACCCTCCTGCGGTTACTATTTTACTTCTGTTTTTCCTACCTTGTTGTTTTCTTTTCAACCACACGTTTTGCCCTTTCATTATGGTTTTAAATGGTGAAAACATCCCTAAATCTAAGGACAAAATATGCCATCCTTATGGGTCTCACTTGGGCTTGATTTTGGTATATGCCGTGTCTTCCCTACCTTGGAAAAGATTCTACGGTTTGTTATTGGTTATATTACTGGATCACAGCTGTCCCTACTATTAACGTCACATGTTCCTGTATAAAAACTTAAATCAATGGAGTGGATCTTAAAGCTCTAGTGGTAACTATTTTATAAATGGTTATAGTAGAACCAAGAAACTTTTGTGCTGTTATTCTGTTCTTTGGTAGGCTTCTTTTTAACTTCTACTAGGATTGCAAGGAAAAAGAAGTTCTTTTTTTCCTTCCCAGAATTTTCACATATAGTAGACAACTGTCATTCGTAGCCTGCCTAGTGGGATATTATTATAAAAGTTTAGGACCTTGGGTTTGGATTCAGACTATGAATGAAGTAAGACAAGATACCTGAGTTAACGGATAACAATGAGCCTTTACTAGTTTAGGGTATATTCAATTTGCTTTACATTTCAAAAGTTTTTGATCTTTTGAGTTTGGCTTAGTGGCTGGCTTAGTATGTTAATTAGTTTATATGGAAGTAATACGGTGCTTGCGTTCAAACCTATGCTTCTATACGTTTAGGATATTCCTATAATTTTTCCGCTATAGTCAGCTAAAAGGTAAATAATTAAACCCTTTAATGGCTTCATCCATTCTCTTTTTGTGCCCTTTATTATTTACTAAGGTTACAAATACATTTTGTGCTAAGAAATGTCCTGTTTCACAAGATCCAAGATGTTAACAATTATCTTTGCAAAGTTCAAACCAACTTACGTATACTTTTGTATGAAATATGTCCTTTACATTATTGTGCTATGCATTGTTATTTGATTTGTTGCTTTTGGAAAATACGTGGTGACTTTTTTTATTTTCTTTTGCTTGGATCAGTGCAAGCAGCACAACACCAACCACTCCCGTCACAACAACTACTCCATCGACCACCACACCCTCAACCATGAACCCAAGCACTAACACCCCCACAAGCACAACACCATACGGTACCACAACACCTACTGGAGTGTTAGGCGGAGTTGGCACAGGCTTAGGCCCTTCCGGAGCTGGGATCAACACAGACTACAGTGGAGGATATAGGCTCCAAGGCTTCTCTTTCTTCATAACCCTCGTGTTTTCAGGCTTGATGCTATTGTGGGGT